GGAGAGAGCTCTAATAATTCGCATAGTTCGTTACATTCGTGATCTTCTACAAACTTTCGGATTCCATAGTTCGAATTGTTACCATCTGCCCAACGGCTTAAATAAAAGTGAAAAGTGAATTTCAGTGACATACTAAACCAGACAGAAGGGAGATGTACTTACGTTTGATCAACATCAATGATTTGAGGATCAGTGATGATAGGGCCTACTCCCTGTAAGTCACAAATCAGTTGTTGGCCTGCAGATTCGTGGTAACTCCAGTGTGTAAAGGTATTCATCAAACGGCATATGATAGGATCGATTCCTTCTTCTTCTTCATCCACGTTAAAGTCGGTATTACTGGAGTACTTCACATATTTTCCTTTTAATGCAGCCTCAATAAAGTAAACTTTGGAGGGGATATCGACATCACCAGTTACAACTACCGCATGTCTTATAACCTTGAAAAATAAAATAACAGATCAGATATGATTTACTAACAGTTTATGTTAAAAGTTATATATGTACTCACTTCTAGTAACTGCAACTTCTTACGGTATGCTTTATGAAGAGCTCGACATCTTGAAAGAACCTTCTTGAAACTATCCAAGAGTAGTGCACTTGCCTCGTACATGAGTGCATCGGTAGCATGTTTTTCAATGGAAGGAGTCAAGTCGTGGAATCGTTTCTTTGCAACATAATCCACAAGTGTTACTTCACCATTTCCTTCCACAATCTTAACCACCGCCTTATAAGTGATCCGCATGCTTCCCTGACCAATGACTTGATCCTGATTGACCCGTAAGGTTATTGGCTGAGTGTCAGCACGGACAAAGGAGACTTTTCTGAACAGGGATTGATTTGGGATATTGTTGGTGTGGAAGATTAAGCGTTGACCGTAAATCCAGCCATCTTTATTGATGTGAACAGATGAAAGAGTCCCTTGACCGAGAAATCCCAACTGGGTTTTCAACCCTACAGCTCCATGTGATGGCATCGTACCTAAGAAGAATAACAAGTGAAGTGAAAAATAAACAACTGTTTTATTTAGACATGAAGAGAAAAAATATAAATATGTAGAGACTCACATGCAAGACCTCCAAGTGCCCACTTTGATTGGGTGTTAGACCCACTCAATCCGATTGAAGAGTTCCTGTTCGAAGTATTGTTACGTTTTTCCAAACGGGTCTCTGATTTCTTGAAATTTGGCTCTGATTCGGAGCTCGAATCTTCATATTCCTCTTGAACCTCTGGATCTGGATGTTGGTAGGTGAGGTCGATTTGAACTGGTTTTTTATCGGTAGACTTTTCCAAAACAAAGAGAAGGGATTCTGGATTGGTAAGGCGGCTTTTACCTTGGGAAAGGCTAACAAAGTTGGTGACATCTGGGGGCAGTTGTTTGATGGATGTCTTAGTCGGAAGCTCTTTAGAGAACACATCCCATAACTTTTCGAGGAGATCGTAAAAAAAATTGGGATTATTTAAATCAACCTTATGCTTGATATTGAGAATCCCCGTATCCTTCTGGAGCTTTGAGTTTTGATACAGAACAAAGCCACAGTCAATCAAGCGCTCGGTGCTGGATTGACTTGAAAGGGATACAGAATGTTTAGAGGAAGAGGACTGAGGCTTCTTCTTTGGATAAGGAGATGTAGACGGGTTTTTTTTACGTTTGGATTTAATAGCCTCTTCAAAGAACTGTCTTGAGGTGGATGGAAGGGATAAACTTCTACTAGGAAATTGGGATTCAGAGCAGTTCCACCGCAGACCCTAATTCCGGGCCGTTAAAATTTGAAATTTGAGAATGCGCAGCTGCCTTTACGGCCTCAAACCGCTGCGGCATACACCGCAAATTGAAAAATTAGACTGTAAAAATTGATGAAAGGTAATTCCCCGGCATTCCCCCTTGTACCCCCTGATCTCCCCATGCACAAAGGGCCAATCTAGCCTTGATTCAACGATTCGACAACCTACTCCACCTAATGGATCGTCTTTCCATTATTCAAAACATTATGAATGAACAAAATTCGATTCTTCTCAACAACACACAATTAATTTCGGTAATACTTCCAGGCGGAGCGCCAATTACTCAAGAAATAATCCGACAAGAAAGCAAAAAACGAGTCAAGGAACCACCAAAACGAGGCGGATCGAGAAAAGGGCGAGCACCAAATCTTCGACGTGACTTTGAAGCAGGCTACCAACGGCTCTATAAAGACTATTTTTCCAATTCACCTATCTACACCGACTATCTATTTCGACGGCGGTTCCGGATGCATAGAGCTCTTTTCTTGAAGATAGTCAAAGACATTGAACATCATGACGATTATTTCTCTCACAAGAATGACGCATTGGGGAATCCAGGCTTACGAGGCATTCAAAAGATAACCTCGTCTCTTCGAATCTTGGTGTATGGCGGCTCATTCAATGCAAATGATGAATATATTCGTATTGGGGAATCGACTGCCGCCAAAAGTTTGTATAGATTCTGTAACACAGTGATTGACTTGTACAGTGCCGAGTATCTGCGATCACCAAACAAGAGCAATGTTAAAAAGTTATTGGCTGTTGGAAAGGCTCGAGGCTTCCCAGGCATGCTTGGCTCAATTGACTGCATGCATTGGGAATGGAAAAACTGTCCAACTGCATGGCATGGACAGTACCAGGGAAAGGAAAAAGTTGGTTGATCTCTCTTGATAATTTTATTTTCTAATCACTCAAAGATATTATTGTCATTTTTTGTTTTCATTAAAGGTTCCGACTATAGTATTGGAGGCGGTGGCCTCATATGACCTATGGATCTGGCATGCCTTTTTCGGAATGCCAGGATCGAACAACGACATTAATGTGCTCGATTCTTCTCCAGTTTTCTCCGACTTGATGAACGGCATCACCCCTCGATGCGAATACACGGTCAGCGGCAAGGCGTATCACCAAGGATATTACCTAGCCGATGGAATATACCCCGATTACTCAACACTCATCAAGACAATTTCTCAGCCGCAAGGGCTAGAAAGACAGGTAAGTAAATCTGATTTTTATTTTTTATTTCAGTTGCATTGACTCTAATCTTTCTGGCAGCATTTTGCAAAGATGCAGGAGGCCGCGCGAAAGGACGTGGAAAGGGCGTTTGGGGTCCTTCAGGCCCGATTTGCAATAGTCGCTCGACCGGCACTATCATGGAGTGCCAAGAAGCTACACTTGGTCATGAAGACGTGTATCATCCTCCACAATATGATTGTGGAGGATGAGCGAAATGAGAACCTCGATCACATCTATGATACAAACACATCATCGACGCGGAACATTTCTTCTCAGCTCATCAACCCAATTGCAAGCCGTCGCGCGGATTTCTCGGCATTTGTTTCAAACATACAACAAATCAGGAATCCTGATTTGCATTTTGCTTTGCGGAACGATCTGATCGCTCATTTGTGGGCACGGAAAGGGAAAGAGATCATCTCAGAGAATGATGACCGTTAATCATGTTGTCCATTTTTTGTGCTTGTTTTTATTTTTTGAAGTAACATGCAATTTACTCTTAATGACTTATTGAAATCTTATGGTTGGGCCAAAAAATTTGCGTGACAATTTCTCTCTCACTGAGAAAAGAAATTGAGTAGGATTTAACTGATTTATTTCAGTGAGCAAACACACTTGAGCAACAAATTTATTCTTATTGATTTCATGAACCATTTCAGTGAAAAAAAAAAGTTTGAGTAATTGTTTTTATTGATTTGTTAATCATTTCAGTGAAATAAAGAGGTTTGAGTAACAAAATCAAGTTTGAGTATCAATATTGAGGGGGTAGATTCATCAAGCAAAATCAAATAGTAATCGGTGAGAGAGAAATGGGTGCTAGGTGCTCGGAGCTGCTGGGGCTGACTCTGACACCTCCTTCTCAAGACGAGCTAAAATTTTCTTTCGTTGAAGAGAATAGTATCTCCTAACGTCTTCATCGGCCCCAGTGAGATCTTTGCTCATGATCGCTTCATCGGCAAGGCGTTCAAGAGCGGACTGTTGAGCTGAGATTGAATCTTTTTGATTTTTGACCGCCTCCGCTATGTCGACATGCGCACTGGCCATCTTCTTTAGATGTTCGTGATTGGACGCGTCAAGTTTCTCTTCTTGATAAGCAATTTTTGACTTTTTGCGACCGATTGGACGAGTCGGCTCTTGTTGAGTACTCTCGTCTTCGGAAGCATCGGATGTTGTAGTATCTGCCGGAGTTGAGCTGGGTAAAAAGCCAGGTAAAGGGCTTGATGGATTGGGATTTGGCGCCTTCTTGACTTCGTGTTTCTTATCCATAGAGATATTGTATTCATGCCACTTCGGCGAAGTTGAGAGGAGATTATAGCAGCACATATATGTGAAAGGTTTATCGTGAAGTTGGGTGAACAAGCTGAGGGCCATACTGATCCGATTGGTGGCAGTCGTACCGCTCGGATTCCTGTGGTTGATCTGATTGACACAACCATGGAATTTGTTCAGAGCGTGTTGTATAAGGCCCCAACGACCTTTGATACTTCTAATCGATCGCTTGGGGTCGGTGATCTTCGAGTGATAGTGGCTTGTGACCGTTCCCCAAAAAGCCTTGCCAGTCTGATCGGTACCTTTCCTTCCATCCTCAGTTGTCTCAAGCCACGAAGTACAAAGCTGGAGATCCTCGTGTTCTTGATAGTTGGGAGCGCGGGATTTTTTTTCGCCTTCTTCGTCCTCCGAATCACTGTCGTCAGCGCCAGCTTCACTTTGGCTCGCTTGGTTGGGAACGGGTTCAATTGTCTTCGGAGTTTGGGCTGCCTTTGGAGTTTCAGCCGCAATCGGAGTGTCAATCACGTTTGGAGTTTGAACCGCTTTCGGAGTCGCATTCGCTTTCGGAGTCTCTTTTTTTTTGTTCTTCACCACTTTTTTGGGCTTGGGCTTGACAGTCTTTTTTGTTGGATTCTTTGGGGTTGGAGCATTGCTAGACGGAGTATCTGAAACCCAAAAAACAACGGTAAGCTAAGGTTCCAAAAACAAGAAACGTTATGACTGACCATCTGTGGTAGACATGTTCCTTTTTCTGGTTGTTGTTTGTGGAGCCGACACCATTTCTATTTCGGTTGAGTCTGGTAAAAGAATCCCGGAAGACGTCAGGATAAAACTTGCTCAAATGCAGCAGGATAGTAATTACCTTTGTTGGTTCTTGGCATGAGTGCTTGAAGTGAAGGATCGATCATGATCAGATGTATTGAGGGATATCGGTTGATATATGTAGAGCTGGATATGATGATATGGACAGGGGATCAAGATCGGGGGTGTTGATTGAAGGGATGAAGCCAACTTTCACAATGCTTGAACTTGTGAAAGTCGATTTTGTTGGAGATGGGCGAGGCCGTAGGAGTCCCTACATCTGAGGACTCTTGAGCAGATTTTAGGGACTGCCGTAAATTATAGGGACCGCGGTGGGCTGTGTTGAGTCCGTAAATTCCACCTACGGCCCCGATTTACGGCCCGCGGTGGAGTTGCTCTTAGTTAGTAAGAAATGACAAAGCAGTACATGAAACAGACCAAGGAGACCAAGGAAAAGGCTAGCTGGAAATTCTTCCGAGACTGGTGCACAACAAGTGGCTTCGAAAATTTTCTGCTCCTAAACATCCTCATATCTATCCGTAAGCACTAAGAATTACAATAAGGATACATTGGAATTCATTTGCTTTGGGGGCATTTGACACTTGGGCCGCTGAGTTCATTTCCTTTCAGCTACTCGGCCACGAAACAAACTCATTTGAAGCACCGTTCTTGCCATCATCTTTCGAATATTGGTTGTGCGCTGAGATTATTCGATTACTGAGGATGAAAACCCGATCACAGTCCACCAAAAACTCTCTGTCTCAACTTCCAGTCGAGATCAAAAGCCTCATCGTTGAACAAACTGCACTTGTGACAGAGAAATCATACCCCGGGAGTCAGAAATTCTTGAAGCTTGCCCTGGTAGATCGAAGCTTTCATAAGCTTTGTAGTCCGACCAATTGGAAGGTATGTTCCCCATTATTCTTTATACACGTTCCCGCTCGAGTATCTCCTTGTGCAACTTGACACTCTTTGGCGTTTCCTTTGAAAATCAGAAGAGCCTTGCGGAGTCAGTTCTTAATTTTGGTTACATTTTTTTTTTTTGGTTTAGGAGCTCAACCTGCGATGCTATGGCAAATATAGGCTTAGGGTTCTGATCAATGAAATTCTACATGAGCAAGCAAAACATGTGCAATCAATTGGTATGGGACTCCATCCCGACGGGGTTCCAAACCAGAAAGATGACGCGAGTGATTCAGAAACGATCGATAGCTCAAGCGACTCAACATCGATTGACAGTGATGATGAATTCCCTGAAGAAGAATTATGTTACATCTTGGAAATTTGCACGAACTTGAGCAAGATGGAGATACGCTATGAACCGACTTCACTCGACGAGTTTGGCAACTTTATCATCGACCCTTTGCGCCCAATAACGATGATGACGCCCTTCATATCTCAGCTTTCCAATTTAACTCACATCAAACTGGACAATTACAGCGACAATGGAACTTACTCCAGCGAAGAGTCCTTGGTCAAATTACTTGGAAAAATGGTCCATCTGGTTTACATTCGCGTGGATTTCATCAAGGCCTCCTTTCCAACTTGCGATCTCTGCGAGTGTCCACAATCCGTCCAACCCTCGGTGTCGCCACTTGGTGTTCACTTGGCTTCACTGCCATCTCTTAAAGTTATCGTATTCTCTCGTGCCGATTGCTTTAATTCAGACTGGAGCAAACTCGATTGGAAAGGGGAACTTGAAGAATTAACACTGCACTGTTGCTACGACGTTTCTTTACGCGCCCTGCATGGCTTCTGCAGCCTCTTGAAGAACAGTCTGGTTAAGCTTTCCCTCTACTTCGTTCCCGTCAGCTTCTCAGACGACAATCTCACCCACATCCTACCCGAATCGGAGCGGACCTTGCTATTTCGTCTGCCAAAGCTTCAGAATCTATCGATTTTCAACCTTTATTCAGCCGAATTTCTCAAATTATTCCGGGAGTCTGTTAACATCAACCGGATCAATTTGAAAAGCACTCCGGAGATCTGCTTAGAAGATCTTAAACAGCTCATGAATCATGAGGATCCGGTGTGGAGTCGATTGAAGACGTTTGTGTTGTGTGAAGATAAGGAGTTCATCGAACCTGACGAAT